GAACATTATATTTAGACTCAGAAAACTTTTATTAAAATCACAGAAATAGCACTTAGTGCCAATGTGAGAATCAAAAAATAAAGTCATCCTCTTTGTACCAAAGAATAAGTAAAATTAACAGAATAGTTTAGATATATTTTTTCTGGTTACATGAACATAGTATTCAAGCAGGGTACTAATTTATGACACATATTAACTATTTATCAATTTAAATTTTTGGTTACATGTGAAAAATACATAATAATTAAAATTAAAAATGATTTCCATGTTGTATTTTTCTGAAAGAAAGTAGAATAAGTTATTTTTAATCAAATTATATGTCAATGAATGAATCCTAAAACAGAAAGTTAGAATATTTTTCCTTTTAGTTATACAAGTTTATTATGACCCTAAACCTATATTCAAATACCATTTTATTGAAATTAAGTCCAATGAATCCTAACAATCTATAATTTAAAAGATCATAATGATGTATTTGGGAGCTCAGGTCACCTAATGCCTAAGGCATCTGACTGCTAAACTGAAGGCTGGCGGTTCAAACCCACCAGCCACTCCTTGGAAGGAACTGGACAATCTATTTCTGTAGAGATACTGCCTCGGAAACCCACGGAGGGGTTCCTATGAGTTGGAGTCAATCCCGTGTATTTAGTCACTGCATTCATTTTGCCTTTAGACCTGTTAGTAAAATAATAGTGTGTTTTACTTAATTTCTTCTAATACACTTGAAGATGTATTTTTCAGGCACCCTTGATAGTCTGATATAATCTGTAGAAAAAGAATGTAATTTATGAATGAAGGTATGCTTTATAACAAACTAGGTTCCATTAGAGCAATAGGGACTAGGAAGGAAAACTGGGCAATCTACTTCCGTAGAGATACAGCTTCGGAAACCCGAGGAGGGGTGGCTGTGAGTCAGATTCGACTCGATGGCAGTGAGTTTTAGAACAGCAATAGGGACTTCACTATAGGGCACAGGAGACTTGATAAAGGAAAAAAGTATGGGGTTTAACCGCTTTGTTCAAGCTTCTTCATAGGCATTTCTGTTAATTAATCTTTAAGGAAATTAGAAATATTTATTTTTATGACAGCATTCATGAGTAGTGTAAACAGTTAAGACACTCAGCTGCCAAATGAATGTTTGGAGTTTGGAGAGTACTGAGAGCAACTCAGAAGAAAGGGCTGGCAATCTCCTTGTGAAAAACCAGCCATTGAAAACCCTGTGAAACACAGGTCTCTTCTGACAACAGATGGGAGGGCCACGAGTCAGAACTGA